TTTTTATACCCTCATTTTTCTAGAAAATAAGGAGATTATAGCGAAATTGTGTATCATGTTGTGTGACTAAACTCTATTCGATTTATAAATTTGTCAATAAAGTTGTACATCATCACAGTTCGATTTTCTAAGTCCATATGACAATTTCTGTATCACAATATACATACATACATGTGTAATTTCCTAGCGTATAGAAAATTAAATTTGATAGATGAAAACATTTATATTAAAATATGGATCCCACAAATGAATACTAAAACTTGCCCATGGATTTGGAGCATAAGAAATAGTTCGTGCATAGCTTCGCTTTGGTTAGTGTCGTTGTTCTTGTCATTGCTGCCGTTAACTGGTCGGACAACTTTGTGGCTGGTTGGAATGTTGTTGCCTTTAGGAAGTCGCTTTGCAGAGTGGTGATTGTTATTGCTGTTGTTGATCTTGCCGTTATTGCCAGCGTCAATGCCGTCATCATTGTTGCTGTTAATTTAGAAACTGTTCTTGCTTTTGTTGTACCCCCAATAATGAGTCAGGAACTTTCGATCGAAGCAGCAGCAGCTGTTGGCGTCGCCAACCAAAGCTGTGACATTGCTGCCAGTTGCTGCGCGTGCGTAACAAATGCATTTGCAAAGAAAGGGAGAATGGGAGAACAAAATTCGAGTTATTGCATGCACATGCCATTTAACTGAATTCTACACAAAGAGTAGAACAATAACATCAAAACAAATGACAGTTAGCCGTGGCAATTTCAGCTTTCAACGTTTAACGAGCGCGTGCACACGATGGCGCCGGTGGCCGAGCTTAACGAAAATAAACAATAACAAAATTGCCAACTGGCACCCATGTGCACAGCTGATAACATTGTCGTTTTTGTTGTGGTTGTCAACGTGTAGACGGAAATATTGCGCTTTTTTTAGCTTCCACCTGATAGTAAAAATAAATATAAAATTGAAAAAATTGGGTCACCCTCCCAGCAACAATGTTGTCGTAATGTTTGATGAACACAGTCATTTATTCTCTCCCCCTCTCTCTCGACCACTCTCTTGCTATACCTCTCTCTCTCTCTCTCTCTCTCTCCCTCTCAACCACTCTCTTGCTATACCTCTCTCTTGCAATACCTCTCTCTCTCTTTCTCTCTTGCAATACTTCTCTCTCTCTCTCTCTCTCTCTCTCTCTCTTGCAATACTTCTCTCTCTCTCTCTACCTCCCATTCTCTCTTTATCCCTTGCGCGCGCGCTCTATCATGTATACATGTACATATGTATGTATGTGCGTGTAACAGAACTGTATATGCCGATACTGTGGCTCCCCAAATATGTGGTTGTTGTTTTTGTTACGAGAAGCGACCAAAATAATAGCAAACAAGTAAGAAGGCTCTAGTCGAGGCTGTTCGACTAGGAGATACCCTGAGCCCGCCAAGGTGATATTCTAATCATTCTGTACTTCTTTTATGCACACATACATATGTACATATAAGGGTATTGGGTTGATTTTCGATAAGGCTTTTAATCGATAAAAATAATGGGATGAGTTATCGATATTTGGAAATAAACTCGATATGCGCGCTATATATACGGACATTTAAAAAAAATGTTTTCAGTCACTAGCACTTATATCTTCTGAGATCGACGTGTTCAAACATACGTACAGACGGACGGACGGACAGACAGACAGACGGATAGGGCCAAGTCGACTCAGCTCGTCGCCATCAATCGATCAAGCATATATATATTTTGTGGGGTCTACCACGCCTCCTTCTGCATGTTACAAACCCATTATACCTTCGTTTTCCATTGTCAATGGGTTCAGGGTATAAAAATTATATAAAAACAATAAGCTCTAGTCGAGACTACGAGATCCCCTGAACCCTTCGTGGAATTGATACATACGCATATGCTGCAGTGTTTTCTTACTATGGAAACTTAATTGCTTAATAATTTGTTGATGACCTATGCTCATGAAACGTTCAGGTCTTTATTATAATATTAAAATGGGTGTATATGCCAAAGCACAAGTCTCTAGTATTTGAAATACGCCTCTTACAAAGGTGATGGAGAGGGGGTGGATATAGGGGTGGGGGTTAAATTACAACAAAAATGGAAATGATATAAAATATATAATAAGTCAACATCTGGAAGCTCTAATTAAATAACTAGTTTTCAATAAGATTTTTAACCAATAATAAAATATCGGGAATGGTTATCGATTTTTAGAGAAAAGCTCGATATGCGCGTGATATATGTACACGGACCTGGGAAAACAAATTTGAGAGTGTTCATACATACGGACGGGCGGACGGACGGACAGGACTAAATCGATTCCTCATCGCCCTGATCAAGAATATATATGTATATACTTTGTGAAGTCTGCCACGCCTCCTTCAGCCTGTTACATACATTTCAACAAAACCATTATACCCTGATTTCCCATTTTCAATGGGTTCAGGGCATAAAAGAGAATAGAAGATCTTGTAGCGGTGCCACAAAAGCTAATCTACAAGGGACACCGACACGATTAATATTAAAAATTTTTAGATTTTAATTTGTTATTAAAAAAAATTATGTTAGTATTATAATTTCATTTAAACCTTTGATGTTTTTTATTTGCTATTTTTCTCGAATTATAAATGGTGCCTTTAGAGGAGAATTGCGACTATTAGGGAGTATATTTTACTGCGCAATAAAATAGAAACAAAAAGAAGAAGAAGAAGAAAAAAAAACAATTATAAAGCATAATAAAACAATTGACTGCTGCCCACAGCATTAGCTGTGAGAGTGAGAGAGCTTTGCGTGTGCGTGAGTAGCAGAGAGCGGGAGAGAGCGAGGTGGCTGTCATTGTTGCTCTTGCTCAGGCTATGGGCAACCAAAACAATTTGCGAGCCAACAGGCCCATAAGAACGAGAAATCGAATAGTATTTGTATACATGTACATACATATATGTACATATGTATGACTTCGTGCGTGCGTGCGTATATGAGTGAGTACATTTTAACTACGCAGCAGCATTTTCACTTTTGCACAAGAACAACGAGAACGCGTGGTGTTCTTGGTGCCCCGCCTCCTTCTGTGTTAGCTCTCGCTCTTTGTTGCCACGTTTTGCGCTCAGCAACTCTCATGCCGCTGACAACGCGGCCACATTTTGTTTTTCTTACGCCCCAAAAAGCCGGCCAAACCCTGTGTGTGTGACGGCAGGGGGAGTGCAGCATCAACTTAATGAATTACAACGTTCTACACACAGTTTTTCTCTTCGTTTGTATACTCTCTACTCATTCAAAATGAGAATTCATGGTGAATTGGCCTTGTGAAAATGTACATATGTAACTGGCATAAGGAATACATGTATGTATGTATGTGTTGTTGTATGCAATGTTGTAATCACAAATGCTTAAAACTCTTAATTGTGAATACGTAGTATAGTAGTTTAAAGTAAATAAAGGCTAAGCAGTACGAATTTATATATGTTTTTGGAACATCAGTTTTTTAAGGGTATCTGCTAGTCGAGCAGTCTCGACTAGAACACTCTTCTTACTATGTGTTTACTACGCTTTTACAATAGATGCGTTGCCCCGGCGTCACCACCGCTGTCGTTGTTACAGTCGCTCTTCAAGCTCAAGCATCAGTGCGGTGAGGCCAAGCGTCATGCAAACAAACGTCAATGCTTTTTTGCCAGCAGCAGCAGGCGCAACAACAATAGTAATCACTTTTATTTATTCTTGTTTCTTTTGCCGCATTAAATTATTGCCATGTATATATGCATGTATCTGTATATGTGATATATATATGTATATATTTATATATGTACATATGCATGTGTTTGTGCCTTGGCGTTAAGAAGAACTCTGCTGCCTAAGAGAGCAATGCGACATCACATTAGCATCCAAATGATGTATAAAACAAGTGAGAAGAATTTTTTCGGGGGTGCCTGACTAGGACATACCCTAAGCCCAGACTGACATAGCCGTAGTCATGGGGACTCACATCTAACAAATCAAAATTTGGCAGCTAATTGTATAAAAAAAAAAAACAACAAACAAACAAACAAGTAAGAACGTTGTAGTCGGGCGTTACCGACTAAGAAATACTCATTCGTCCGTTTGCATTTAAATCATAATATTTAAATGTGTGAGCTAGAGACTTGAAATTTTTTCTTAGGTCTGTGTATATAACGCGCATATCGAGCTTATTACTAAACATATATATATACCTCACCTTTAGAGCTATAGCTGCCAAACTTTACAGGTAGACTTATGTATACTTTATATAATTTCAATTTTTTTTTGTAATTTACCCCCACCATTATATCCATCCTCACCTTTGTAAAAGGAGTATTTCAAGTACTAGAGACTTCTGCTTTGAAATGTGAATACATTTGAACATTATGACACCGTTCTGAAAGATTCATTAAGATTGTACGTCTAGAAATTCTTATAATATTGCCCACATTGCAGCGCAGCCCAAGCGCAGTCGCTGCTTACTGCGCAATTAGTAGAGCGTATTCTAATACGTGCGTGTATGTGTGCCTTAAAGAAGTGCAGACTGATTAGAATATCAGATAAGTGGGTTCAGGGTATCTTCTAGTCGAGCAGTCTCGATTGGAGTCTTCTTACTTGTTATGTTACCGAAATGTTAAATAAACACTTAAAATTTAAATGCTGCGAACCCAAATTTGTGTATGAAAATATGGACTACACTCTGTTAATGACGAATGCTAGCTAGTTCAATGGAGTGTGTGTGCTTGGTCACGCTAAAGCGATAACGAACTGTCTGCGTCTGCGTTGACGTTAACGTTGACGTTGACGCGACACGTGTGTCGACCAGTTGGCGCCCTTTTTCGCATAAAATTATTGCTATTGCTTGTCGCTCTAGTACTCACACATACAGATGTGCACATATACATACGTGCGCTGCGGGCGCTATATAGTTTCGCTGCTCTCTTTGTAAAATAAACTTAATAAGATTCCCGCTTTTTGTATTTTCATTACAGTTTCGACCAACAAAACAACAACAACATTGACGACGAAAATCATTCCAGCAATTATTAATATAAGAGAGGAAGAGCGAAAGAGAGAGAAAGGGAGAGTAAACAAGAGTGATGATTACCTAACGGGCTATCGCTTGTAGTTTAATACTTGATATACAAAAATTACCTACAACATGGATTTAAGAGATTTACCGGTTGAAATATTTTACTGGAAGTCAGCTGCTAGCAAGAGTCTAGAGCGGAACCGGATTTCGGATAGAGTCAAGTTTGTAACGTTAAGGCAAACACGTTGCCATGCCCTAAAAACAAAGCCAACCACAACAGGTGATGTATTAGCAACAACAGAATCAACAACAATATCAAAAAAGCTAGCATCAACAGCATGTGGCAATATTTGTGTCATATGCCGACAAGTGCTAGCAACAACAGAATGTTGCTGCATTCAGCAGACAGCAACACGCAGCAGTTCCTATCCAAGCAGCAGCAGCAGCAGCCAGTGCAAATTCAGAAACAGTCACAGTAACAGTAACAGTAACAATAGCAGTATAAGTAGTATCAGTAGCAGTAACAGCAACGCATCATCTACAACATTCCCCAGCAAGCTGGAGGTTTCGAAACATTGCAGCTGTCTGCAAGTTCAAGAAAGGCAACGTCGTCAACATCATCAGCAACTTGTTGAGAGAGCAATTTGCTGTACAACGAGCAAGAGACGTAGTGGTAGAGGCGGATTAGAAAATAGTGGTAGCAATAGCATAAATGACCATAACCAAAAACAAACAGCACTAGCATTCAATTGCCAGTGCAGCATTAACAACACCAGCAACATCTGCAACACCTGCAACACCTGCAACATCTACAACAACAACGACAAGAACTTCAGAAACAGCAATATTAACAGCCACGTTCACAAAAAGAATCGATATTTAAAAGTTTACAGCGATTGCCTAAGTCTTCTGGTCACACTGCAATTGTTTCTGTTTGTTCAACAACGAATGCTGTTGCGACATTGTTGCATTTTCTTCAAAAGACGACGGAGACATCAATTGCAATCAACACGGGAACCGCAGCAAGGACAGCCACAGGCATTCAGGCGAGAATATCGCAAATTCCCATATTATCAGCTGCAGCAGCATCCGATAAAGCGTCATCAAAGTATTGCATTCGCAATACTCGCGCTGTTAGCATTGCAAGCGACAACAGCGACTGCCATGCTTCCGCCGCCGGCTTTACAGCAGGATCAGCAGCAGTTAACAGCGAGGCGAAGCTTCGAGGACAGCTTGGTGTCTTTTACAGGGTCGACGCGTAACACCAATGGCTTCGGCACTAACAGTAACGTAATAAACAGGAATAGTAACAGCAATGTGCGACTGGCGCGTAAGGAAATGCGTAAGTTTTATATGAATATTTACTTATCTTACATTTTTATACTTTGACCCATTGAAAACGGGACATCAGAGTATAATGGTTTTGTTAAAATGTATATAACAGGCAGAAGGAGGCGTGGCAGACCC